CTGGGCAGGGATGGGAATATGATTTTTATAGAGAAGTAAGAAAGGTAAGGGCATAAATCATCTTTATCTCTGTGTGGAATTCTTGGGCCCCATTTCACTAAAAATAAAACAAATATAAAATTGTTAAAAAAACAAGCCTTTTTTACTATCCAGCTCACCTGGCCACCGTCCAAAATATGCAAATACATAGTGAAGGTTCTTAAAATCAGCCTTGATTTTGGTGTAGGATTAATTTCTTCACTCTCTAATTTGCTCTTACTTCCTGAAATGGTTTCACCTAGCAGTAAGTTTTACCATTCTTTAAAACATTAACTACAGTGTTTAATTTAAAAACAAACTCAATTCTGTTGGTTTTGATACAAGATGGTGTGATTCTACCATTGCCCAACACCATACGCCATAATTCAGCAGCATAGCTTGGAATAAAACCTAGGGCTTCAAGTGCCTAAATCCTTTCTCTAGCCAATAGATCGCACCTTTTCTCTCAGGAGTCTAAAGCATATATTATGTTAGGCCTTTTCACCTATCGCTCCCCATTATGTATGTTTTATAGCATGTGAACAGATTCATAAATGTTTCAGTGCCACTGATTCACTTACCTTGGCGATATCATACATGACAGAGATTTTAAATTCCCAATCCATGAAAGTGCCATCTGGATAGGAGATTTTATCATTTAAGACATCCTGGGAGGACACAAAGAAAGGCTAATCTATAGCAAGGAAACAGCCGGAACAGACATCTCTGTGTAATGTTAACAAAGCTCTAAATCAAACAGCCTTTTGGCCAATGACTAAAAAGGGGTACCCCTCTGTTTTAAAAAGTACATAAAGTACAAATTATTTTCAGTAACCACCCAATACACCTCCATCATAATCATCCAGGAACCCATCTCTGCAATCAGCCCTGGTGCCAACTCTGACCACACATCTACACAACTGATTTCAGCACTGGACCCAACATCGTCAGCCACTACATCAGGGGCTCATTTAACTGCACATCCACTAATGTGATCTATGCCATCAAATGCCAACAATGCCCCACTGCCATGTATATTGGCCAAACTAGACAGCTTCTACGAGAAAGAATTAATGGACACAAATCAGATATCCGAAAAGGCAACACACCAAAATCTGTTGGAGAACATGTTAACCTGCCCAGCAGTCATTAATGGATCACTGTTGTTTCAGGCCAATTCCACAAGCCAAATACACAGGGAATGGTTGGAACTTACCTTTATTTACAAGTTTGATTCTAATCAGAATGAAATGAACAAGGGTATTGGCTGGCTCCCACATTACCTTTCACTGTCTTTTTTCTCCTTTTTTTCTTTTTCTTCCTTCCCCCTACTTCCCTTATTTACTTTTGAATCTGGACTTTTAATACTCTAGTCATCTAAAGAAGTGGGTTGCACCCACAAAAGCTCATGATACCATCTAAGTGTTTTGTTTGTCTTTAAGGTGCTACTAGGCTATTCGTTGTTTTTAAGTTTTTCTACATAAATTATGACACAGGTTTACTTGGAGGCTAAGGAATGGAACATCTTTGTCTTACATGGCAACTACAAAAAAGTGAGAACCTAACTTGTATCCACTGTGGTTTCCAGTGGCAAAAATGAGACTCTGTGAATATGTTGATGACATTGGGCAAAGCCTAGCAAGACATTCTGACTTGTCTGTCATGGCACTCTTTAATTAGGAAAGTGATCCAAAGCCCACTGAAGTCAAAGATAGTCTTTCCATTGACTCAGAAGCAATGTCAGTTTATGCCTGCTGTTGATTGACTCCAAGCAGAAAAAGGGAAAGGAGCAGAAGAGAAATTAGTGATATTACTTCATGTAAATATTAAAGTAATATTACTGACTTCTCTTTGGCTCTTTTCCCTTCTCCTGCCCTAAGACTCTGCCATCTGGCAAGTTAGCATTTTGTTATACAAACTGGTAAGAGGGGCTTGCACAGTTATTTACCCGCAACGATCCTCTCTCACAGTACTCAATCACTCCAAAGATCATTGTATCCATCTTCACTGTGCCATAGAACTTTGTCAGGTTGTAGTAGTCGATCTGGAGGAGCTAAAGCAAAAATAATTCATCCATTAAAAACAAATTCAATAGTTAGTGTGGGAGCCAAAATTAAATCTGATGGTGTGAAGAGGCTGTCAGTCCCAGATCCTGATATGCATTCAGTGTGCATGTGTGGGGAACCAAAGTGAATGATTGCTGAAGAGTAGCTCTCATTCCAGAGCCTTCTGGTTTAGGGAGATTAGGGTGAGGTGCAGTGTTCCCTGTACACTGTGCACTTGTGCATCTGTTCAGGGGAGATTCAAATTGTGCCCAATTGATTAGTAGAGCACCCACAATTAGGTTAAGTTTCCACTTGTGGTACACATTCATGTCTCGGTGCACAAAAGAATTTATTCCGCACATGGGTGGAAAAAAATCCACCCATGGATGGAAAAGATTAGAGGAATCATTGACAGGGAGTGATTCTTATATATTCCAAATTCTGCTATCTCAGTAAAATCATATAATACTAGAATGGAAGGGACTTGGAGAGGTCATTGAGTCCAGTCCCCTGTCCTCACGGAAGGACCAAGCACTGTCTAGATCCAGAGGCACCATTTCAAATTTTGGTGGGAGGGGGCGATCTATGCATGCTATGAGCAGGGTGGGGGAGTGAGAGCATGGGGAGGTAGACTGAGGACAGCAGCTTCTGCAGTGTTACTGAGCATGCTCAGTGCAAGCCAAGCACCAAATGGCGGGGGAAAGGGGGCAGAGAAACCAATTCCTTCCACCCTCCCCCCTTCCACCTCATCTCTGTCTCAGGGCTACTAAGGCACTGGAAAACTCTGCTTTTTTGGCAGACAACTTAGCGGTTAGCAGGAGCACTGTATCTATTTCCTAAATAAAAAGAAAGGAAATTAAATATTAGACACACTCAGCTCTAACACTAACATATTCTGATATCTTATGGCAAGTCACTTAAGGGACACTAGTTAACATTATAAGGCTAATGTATATTTTTACTTAGTTATTAACTCTGGGTAGAGAGAGAGAGAGACCCTGGCAGGACTCCTGGTCTCTCTCTCAGCTCTGGAAGGGAAGAGGGGTCTGGTGGGTTACAGCAGAGGGAAGATACATTACAGTTATATATAAGAAAACCTGAAGGGCCACATTGGGTCAGACCAAAGGTCCTTCTAGCCCAGTGTCCTGTCTGCCAACATTGGCCAATGCCAGGTGTGTCAGGAGGAATAAACAGAAGAGGCAATCATCAGATGATCCATCCCCTGTTGCCCATTCCCAGCTTCTGGGAAACAGAATCTAGGGATATTATCCCTGACCAGTCTGGCTAGTAGCCATTGAGGGACCTATCCTCCTTGAACTTATTTTATTCTGACTAGAGCCCTATTACAGTTTGGGCCTTTCCACCATTTCCTGGCAAAAACTCTACAAGTTGGCCGAGAAGAAATACTTTATTTTGTTTTACATGTGCTGCTTATAAATTTAATTGGGTCAGTTTCTTGTGTTATGTTAGTGAGCAAATTAATAACATTTTCTTATTCTATTTTTCCATGCCATTCATGATTTTCTGGACTTTTAACATATCTTCAACGGTCCTTCTAGTCCTGTATCCTGTCTTCTGACAGTGGCCCATGCCAGGTGCTTCAGAAGGTATAAACAAAAGAGGCAATCATCATGATCCATCTCCCCTGTCAACTATTTTGTTTTTTTAAAATCTGCTGCCTATACAGTAAATTGAATCATTTTTTTGTGTTATGTTAGTGAAGAAAAGAATAACATTTCCTTATTCTATTTTTACAAATCTTTCATGATTTTCTAGACTTCTAACATATCCCCCCCCCACCCTACAGTCATTTTCCAAGATGAAAAGTCCCAATCTTGTTAATCTCTCCTCGTGTGGAAGCTGCTTCTTACCCCTAAACATTTCTGTTGCCCCTTCTGTACCTTTTCCAAATCCAATATATCTTTTTTTAGATGGGATGACCAGATCTGCATACAGTATTCAAGATGTGGAAATACAATAATTTTATATAGAAGCAATATAGTATTTTGGCTTACTATCTATTCCTTTCCTAATTATACCCAATATTTGGTTAGCTTTTTAGTTTCAAACTGCCACTGCACATTGAGCAGATGTTTTCAAGGAACTAGCCACAAGGATTCCAAGATCTCTTTCATGAGAGGTAACAACTATTTTAGACCCCATTATTTTTGTATCTATAGTCAGGATTATATTTTTCCATGTGCATTACTTTGCGTTTATCAACACTGAATTCCATCTGCCTTTGTGTTGCCCAATCACCCAGTTTAGTGTGAGATCCCTTTGTAACTCCTTGAAGTCAGTTTTGGATTAGTCACTGTTTACCCCTTTTTCAAGAACATTTATGAGAAGTTTAACAGAAGTGATCTAAATGCAGATCCCTGCAGCACAACACTTTCCCCCCCACACACATCTTTTAAGTGGAGTACCTGGCAATGTTTTCATGATGATCTAACCATCCTTCAATTACCTGAATAACCTGCCTTTGTTTTGTTAAAACAAAATACAGGACTATGTAGCACTTTAAAGACTAACAAGATGGTATATTAGATCAGTGGTCCCCAACCATTAGGGATTGCCGG